CTGCTGTGAAGATGGACCAGGATTCGTCCTTCTTGTCCCTGTGCCACCGAGCGGCTGCTAAACTGGAGACAGTGGCCCAAACCCCCACCTGCTCAAAAGCCGTCAAGGTTCGCAGGGTTTTATCTCCCGTCTGAACCGGCTGATATGAAGCACCGTCTGACTATGTTTCCGGACTTTGTGTCGGAGCAGACGTCTTCCTGGAGCAAACCGCTGTCCATCCGCACCTTCGTGCCCGGACAGGGTCAGTACTTGGACGTGGAAGGGGCAGATCAAGCAGGCCTGGTGGGCATCCCTCCGATGGAGCCATCTTTAGCCGCTTATTTGGCTCCGTCTCACTACCAGGGTGTGAGCGGGCCCACCCTGCTCCCTTCCAAGCCCTGCAGATTCTCTTCGGCATAGCTGGAGAAGATCTACAAAGCCCAAGGTAACACCGCCCATGCGCTGAGCTCCGTCACTATGCTTCAGACCTACCAGGCCATGGCCTTGGCTGAACTAGCAGCTCAGATGCCACAAGAAAACCTCCTTTTACCCCTGCTGAATGAGATCAGACTGGCGTCAGACCACATTCTGCGTGTGTCCCGCTATTCAGCGCTGGCTCTGGGGCAAGGAATGGCTTCTACTGTGGTGGCGCAGAGGCACCTGTGGCTAACGCTCTCAGACGTTCCCCACAGGACAGAGCGGCCTACTTGGATGAACCGATAACGCCTACAGGACTGTTTGGTCAAGCGCTTGACGTCATCCAAACCAAATTTGAACAGAGGAAGAAACAGGCTGAGGCACTTTGCTGCATCATCCCCAGACGCGAGGCGAGGCCCAAGGCCCTGAGCACATCCAGGTCTGCGTCTCATCCTCCTCCGTTTAAAAGGCAGCGACACCCGGGACTTCAAAGGCCCAGCCCGCCGAACCTTCCAGCAAGCCGCAGCCTCCCCGTCAATCGGCATGGAGCAAAGGCCCCCCTCCGAGTCAGCAGGACAGTTCAGCGGCTCGGAAGAAGAAGTCATAGTCCTCCTTACAGCAGGACTGTCTTCACAGGGACTTCAAAAACAGAGAGACAATGTTCAGCTGCAGTTGAAAAGACATTTAAATGTTTGTGTTTCAGAAAACGGCCCCAAGAGGCGTCGGCTTTCAAATGTTCAGTCTCCTCTGTTGTCCCGAAAAATAAACAAAAAACATGTAGCCCTCTCCATGGG